CCAACACTTTTAACGTCCAGCAAAAGCGGCTGCTAACCATCTTTAAAACTTTGATATAACCACCCAAACCATCAACAATGCACAACGTTCAAAATATAAACAAGCGGTAAACGCCAAGATGAAATAAAAAACAGTTTATAAACACAACAACTTTCATTCAGCAAATCAGAAAAACAACTTTCTTCAAAACAATTAATAAAGACGTTGTGCAGGACCCATAGTGCTTTTAATATTAATGGATCGAATATTCTGCCAGTTCTTCTTAAGCAGTGAAACCAAAAAGTTCACCGAAAGTGAAATATTTTGCGCAAGCTCTGCCTCCGTCATCTCCACATGCCCAACTGCCACCGACAGGCAAAGCACCTGAAAGATAACCCATATGAACCGCACGCAAATACATTACAAAGCCTACGTATCGTCTGAGAAACGAGTATTCTTCTGCAGAATATGTAAAATAAACAACTCCAGCAATATGTTTTCGAGTGAAACAACAGAAGAACGCCTTTCAGCCAAACAAAAACTAGAATTACTTTGCACCACGTCTAGTAACAAGTCCAACCAGTGCTACTAGTCAAATTAAATTAGCAACTAACGAATCTACTAAATATCGACTTAGTCACGGGAAGGCTAACCTTTTTCATTTGAAACTTAATTGTTGAACGGATTTCCTCAACCTTTGCTGCCAACGGTTCAGAGTGAGATACAACAGTTGGAAATTTGCCTGCCTTATTCAGACCAGGACCCAATATTCTCGGGATCTGCTTAATCAAAGCTTCAGAAGCTAAGAAAGCATCGTAACCCTAAAAAGACCCCGATGTTTAAAACAAAATTTTATGTCGATTAATAAGTATAATGGTCTGCACAATTAAATTTTTACCTTAGCCAACTTCTTAATTAGCTTCTTATTCTTATTCAACTTTTTCAGGTCCTCTGCATTCATACATGGAATATTATTGTTATTAGCTTCATCACAGTGTTGCTGATCACCCAAAATGCAAACTTTCATCTTCGGTCGTGGTACAGTCTTGAGCCTACAAACAGCGAAAAGATAAACTACAAAATCCTCCCCTGGGAAAACAGAGTAGAGTTCCATCACTTTCTCAGTTTCTCATCCAGAGCCCAATTCATAGTGAACTAACCAGAAAATCCAGAGTTTTTCATCTTCTAGTGTCGCAATAAAGGCAAATCTAATAGAAAGTGGTAGATGCTTGAACAATAGTCAACCGTAAACACTTCGTCAATTCAAGCCAGTACCACATACTAAGTTACGAGACCAAAGAACTGATGGTTTACAAGAGTGACCAGTTTACAGAAACTCAGGATTTTCAAATCAAATTTAGTCCGCATAACTTAATTCAGAAAAAAAATAAAAATTAAAACAACTTCAGGAACTTTGTTAAACCCTACAGAATATCGAAGAAGAGCGGGTTGACCCATGGACGACCCTTCCCAATTTTTAAAGACCCTGGGTGAGGGTCCCGCCGGTCAAACAGAGCCGACTACCTGCTCTTCGACCAAGAGTAGGCATAACTAATACCTGACAGAGCCACTAAAACGCTTATCCTTCTGCGGATCGTAATTTTTTAAGGCCACTTGCAATTCAACGGTCTCACGGAACTTTCTTTTTTTCTCCTGTGAATACTTCAACACTTCGGAGATGCACTCGTGCAGCGTATCTCGGGATATCTTGCTCATCTTCTCAAACCCTAAAATACAACAAAAAAAAGAACAACACTGCAACTTAACTTTGCATGGCAACTTATACGCCACTGACAGGTTAGGGATAATAGAAGATGTAACAATTTCGGCACACCATAAAACACTAAAAGCATGAAATGCCGCATTATCACTCATTCTAACACCTTCTAAGAAGCCCTTTTCATAACCACTACGGTTAAATATACTACGCAAAAACCCAAAAGCCTTTCAGAAGTACTTGAAGAACCGGCATCAGATGTAGGCAGCAATATTCTGAACACCGCTGTGAATGATTTAGGTAGAAGGTTACCAACACACGATTACTGTACGTTATTATATCTTAATCGCTTCAAAGTTGATTTTTTTACTAATGCAGCACTATTTCAGCAATTTTTACTATAGCGCTGCACTTGCTGAAAAAGTATCAATAGAAAAAACCTTCTGTTGGCGATATTCCAAAAAGTCGTAAAAATGCGTAAGAAATACTGTCTGACGTATTTGTATTTCCAGTTCAAGCTACAAATGCAGTTGTTTGTACCCTAATGTTCCTTGAAAATAACGGTGATATAATTGTGCTTAGTTTTAGACTGTCTACGGAGTTCATCTTTCCGATGATCTGCACATTGTCATTTGCTTACAATTGTGTTCTTTATCACGTTCTGGACATGCCTATAGGTAGATTGTAGTTATTGTGTGTTTAGTCGTGAGTGA